TCACTGAGGGTGAGGCATGGCACAAGCAGAATGCATGGCACAGAATATAAAGGAAACAGAGATTGCATCTCCGGCAGTAAACACCAAGTTAAAAAAGAGCCACGTGAGATGAGGTTATAAGCTCTCAAAGCTGGCTCCCAGTGCTTCTCCCACTAAAGGCACACCTCCCAAGGAGTCCATAACATCCCCTAAATAGCATCACCAACTGGGGACCAAGTGTTCAAACATCCGAGCATATGAGGAACATTTATCATTTAACCTACCGCAGGAATAAAAGGACTTCCGGCTCAACTAGAACCAGGATTATGAGAACTAGGGAAACACTGTGGGGATTTTGATGCTTTTGTACTGATACATTTCATCTATAGAGTAATTAGCAATCACTTATTTTCAGAAGATTTATTTTATTTTTATTTATGTGCATGTGTGTATCCATGTATGTCTATGCTCACATATGTAAGGTGCCTATCAGCCCAGATGTGAGCATTGTATCCTGGAGTTGGAGTCACGGGTGTTTGTGAGCCACTTGGCATGGGCACAGGGAACTAAACTCCAGTCTACTACAAAAGCATTGAGTGCTCTTAACTGTTGCGAGCCACCTCTCTAAGTCCTGACAATGAATTTGTTAAAGTCTTTGAGTTGATTTTCTTCTCAGAAATTCATAAAATTTGCAATTTGTTTTCTACTCTTCATCTTGCTTTGAGGAACTAGATTCTAAAGGAATGCCATATTTAATGGTTCTACTAAAAATAATAATGAGCTGAATTTTTTAAGTCACAGTATTTCAGAAGTGTCTCAGAAAGCAGTCTAGGGAAAAGGTGTATCCTTGAAAGCTGAGCTGAGGGACTCTGAAGTTGCCAAACTCAGCTGAACTATCTGAACTATCCTAAACATTTTAAGTTTGAAAATAGGAGTGTGAGTATGGAAAAGAGCCTTTAGACCCCCCACCATCTATCTATCTATCTATCTATCTATCTATCTATCTATCTATCTATCTATCTATCTATC